ATGCCAGGAGCCTCTAGTAGCGTCCTTGCTCCTAGTAGCGATGCCAGCAGCCCCTAGTAGTGTCCTTGCTCCTGGTAGCGATGCCAGGAGCCCCTAGTAGCTGCTAGGATAAAAAAGGTCGAAGGAAAAGACCCAAACATCGAGTTTGCAGGCACTCCAGGCCAATGCAGCCGTGCAGCACTATCTGCCTGTTAAGCGCTGGCGGCGACGCCTCATTGCTTTCACGCGGACAAAAGATATCGAAGATCATGGAGGGCACGGAAATCACACCATTTATCATTCATGTCTTGTTCTCTGCATGGTCTCAGGCTCCAGGCATGCAAGGTCTCTTTTGCCAACGCTGCTACTTACAGCCCTCGGTGTGCCCTTCCTCATCCTCCCAATAGGTTACCCACCCACTAGTCCACCCACTCCCTCGCTCTCTTGGCGCAAAGGTTTGCACTTGGTGGGGAACGAAGCCATGGTGGATGACTTGGGCTTCATCGTCCCTTTTAAAGGCGGTGCCAGAGTCTTGTTTGGGTCTTTTTCACTAGATGACATGCTAATACTCTATTCCACTTGCCATCACCAGAGCAGCATATGAAGATACATTGATACATCACAGGCTATCCCATGGCGCTTGATTTCGGACACCCTGTCCCGACGACCAGTTTCGCCACTTGCCTCCCACCACACCAGGCGGCAAAGTTCCGCCGGAGACGCTCGGTGATACCACCTCCTCATCTGTGCATCGATACCTCGATTTGTCCGGCGTCCTGCCTTTCGGCCGGGAAGTACTGGGAGCTGCTCTCCATCCATGTCCTACTGCAGATTTTCATGCCATGTGACACCTTGAGCTTCTGTGCACCTGAGGCATTCAGTGCCCCAGAAGCTGCAGCTTTCTCATCCGTCAGAGATTTCGTCCTCGGCAGCTGAGGTGAAATGCTGAAACCGATGACATGCCATGACATGCCATTCTTTTTCCCACATGGAATGCTTTGCTGCAGCTTTAGACTCTGCCAGGCTCGCCGGCCGGCCACGGGCATGAGGCCGACGTTTTTTGAATCTTTGGACATGTTTGCGTGTGTTGGAAGCTAAATTGCTTTTATGTAGACTCCTTGATTAACGACCCCACCATTTGGATTGGAGAACCTCTTGTTTTTTTTTTTCAAATCTAAGAGTCTACATTGCTCTTTCTTTTGGGCCGGGCCTGGTTCCGAACATGCCCGACCACATGATTTGCACTTGGCCTCGGTGTCGCCGTCAGGCTGAATCCCAGTTTGCTGATTGGAGACGAACATCCATCTGGTCCGGCACTCGAAGAGCTAAATGTTGGGTGTAGTTTCCACCAACTCCAAATGCTGGACGACGCGCTGTATGACGCCCTGACTATGCGATTCAACTATGTCCAAAGGTTTTCATGAGTATTGAAATGTGCTCCGAATCTTCAATGAAAGACATTTCGCGGGTTAAGATCAAGTAAGCCTTTGTTCAAGATCTCATCGAAGATCAAGCAACTGATGCAAATATATTCGCCGCACAGGGATGTAGACTTCTTGACTAAAAGCACTTCCATAGGAAGAGGACGGAAGGGGTCTTCCACTCCAAATGTGGGAGGGTTCTTCATCAAGAATCAGCATTACTCGATTAGATCGGGCGGTTTTCATGCCACCGCTCACTTCGGAAGTGGATCAGGTGCCCTGGCCTCGTGCATTTCGGGCTCCTCCATGCCTTCGGCTTCCAAGGAGAAGCTCCGATGTTCAGAGTCGCAGAGTTTGTTTTTTTTATTTCACGGCACCCAGTGGGGCCTTTGTTGTTTCGGCGCACCTCTTTTTAAAGACGACTGTGCCAGACTGGTATAGCTCAAAACGGGACAAAGCACAGAGAACATCCCAAGAAGATCCCGTGTCCTTTGTCACACCTTTTTGCGGGCGTAACGAGGGGGGGCCGCCGCTGTGGGGGTGACACGGGAGACGGGCGTGGCAGGATATGCTGGAGGTTGAGGACAGCTGGGCAATGGCCTCGGGACAGATGTTTAGGTAATGCGAGCAGAGGTCTTTATACACATGCCAGAAGAAAAGGTTCGTTTAAAAAACAGTGCAAGGAATATTAGGAATTAACAAAAGGTTAACTTAAATGGTGGTTTTCAGGTCAAGAAAGGTTAATTAACAACAAGAGTCAGGAAAGAGGTTTTCAGGTCAACCAAGAATCAGAACGAGAGGTCAACGTTCTAGACTTTGTCTCAGGCCATGGAGAACTGCCGTGTCAAGGCGATTGGACGCTCCTTGGAAGAGGCCTGGCCTGAGGGTCCATTTGGTCGACCAAGCTACACAAACACATGTTTGTTGTGTTTGTGAAACATTTTCAACTCTGTGGTGCAGGTGCGCGACACAAATCAATGGATCATACTATATAAAATACGGATATTTACATACTGTAGCAACTCCGTAACATTTCACAAGTGAAGGATGCACATGGTCGAAACATACCAAAAAGCGTGCATGTCTCAGTTCTTGGGTTCCGTGATTTCCAGTGGCGGTCCGAGGAAGCAGAAGCTCAGCAGTTTAGTGCAAAGCGTGAAGCTGAGAGACTTGAACCGTGTGACCTGGCCATCACTTCGGGTAGTGAAGTGCGCATTGAACCACATATAGGCAAGTAGTATGTTGACCCAAAAAGACAGCTACAGGTGCAAACCTGAAAGAACACAAACCTCTTGGCAGGTGCTGCTGGATTTGTGAGAATTGGTGTGAGTATCGACTGACCTTTGCTCAGAAGACCGGCAAGATCGAGGCTAGGGCACCGGAAGGAACAGCCTCTCAAAGGATCTATATAATAGGTCTTTGTGGGAAAGAAGACTGCTTTATGGTCTTTGCTTGTCTTTGCTTGTCGGAAAGATGACCGCTATAGGCCGGCTTGTCTTTTGGGATAGTTGACAGGTCAAAACGCCTTTTTTGGAGGGGCAGCTTTGGCAGAGAGGGGGGTTTCGCAAGGCCAATAGCGTCCACGCGCTCACATCCCTGGATGGCTTCTCTCAGCCAATACAGCTCAAGCAGCCGTTGGTCTGCACATCAGACATCGGGATCATTCGGGTTCGCAGCCACACGTTCGCGCTCGCCCGGTTTTTCCCGGATGGCGACTCGGAAAGGGGAATGGATCCTTTTGATATACAGTGGTTAAATCATCCGAATGGATCGTCAGGTATCTACAGATATCTACAGTGGAGGTTCATCCCCTGGCTTTCTATGAGTACCCCGCTGAAGACTCACATGAACCCTGAAAAACCACTCGTTTCAGAGGAAAAGATGGAAATAACGTCCTTTATATAGAGTGCCAATACCACAGGGTCCATCTTCGTTGTGCGGTATGGACACATGACAAAACATGAACAGGTGGAGTGCCGCACGGGTCTCCGACTTCTCGTCGTGTTCGCACCGGTCGACGGCGTCTGAAGCCGCCCCCGTGGAAGCGCCCAGCGGCCGAGGCTTGGCAATCAGTGGGCGGCCTCCAAGATGCTTCCACCCAGCTTGGCGGCGGTGGAGGTCAGACTGGAGACCCATGGAGACCCCGCCATGGGTTTGGGGTGGTTGTATGTACCACACGCAGAAAGCGCGGTGGGGCCACTGCAATCTTGAAGCGTGAAAGAAGCGAGATCTTTGTTGAAAGAATTGGAAAGACACGTTGTTCTTTTACTTAAAGGTGCCTTGAGCTCATGAGACTGCAAGGTGATTTTCATCGTGGATGGGCAGCCGAGAATCTCCACGTCACATCCTGTTCGCAACTTGCTGGTTGGGGTGGCCCAGGAGTCACCGAACTCCGCCTGTCTTGCGAGAAAGGGCGGGGCGACTTCTCGGCGGTGCTCCGAGGCCAAGAAGTCGCTCATGCTCGATCCCGACATCTTCGGTTCGAGTGAGGCGGACCAAACGGACGGGAGGTGAAAAGACCGCAGGTGAAAAGCCAAACATGGAAGTGGACAAGGCACTTCCGCTTGTGGAAAAGGATCCTTCCAGGGGCCACGACGTCCACTTCCAGTCAAGCTTCCATGAGGTGCCACCATCCGAACTCAGCTGAAAAGACAGGAGAAGGTCTCATGTTTTTCACACCCATCCTACCTCTCCGGAGTACTTGTGTGGTTTCCCGCTGTGAGATCTGCCACAGTTCTGAAATGATTTTGGGGAATGTTTACTCCGCTGCAGCACAGCCAGGATGGTTCAGGCCGGATGGACGCTTGATGACGCTCTCCCGGTGCTGTAAAATTCGATGTTTCAATTGCTCTTTGTGACTCTTTGTGCAAAACATGCAAATTGCTTTGACAAATTCAGCAATACAGCGCAACACATTCTATGAAGTGTTCACAGGTTGCGTCAAACTCTTTCCGACCTTGATTTCATAATTCAAATGCTGCAAGCATTTACGTTTTGTAGTTCCACAGACGCCTCGCATTGTAAAGATTGTTATGCTGCATTGGCTTTGCTGTTTTAGCAGAGTCTGTCCAGGGCCACAAGTGGTGGAGGCGGAATCTGTGAATACGGTGCACGCGGGCTAGGGCTCCCAGCAGTTGCTTCATATAAATTTGATGTGAACACCCATCCAACACCCATCCCACTTGTGCAACTCGGAAGTAATGAGGGAATGGATCCCAAGATATCTACCGTGGGCGGTGGCCATCTTTCGCTTCACGAGGGAATGCACCCGTCGGTGGAATGGTCTGGTCCGGTCGTTTTGTCTCCTCAGGCTACTCTGCATTTCAGAGACATCGCCTCGGGGAGCCGAGAGACATGTTTTTTGAAGACGAAGACTTAAAGTATGGCAAAGTAATATATAAACCATATGATTCATATGATTCTATAGAAGACAGACACGCAAGAAATGCGCCTCTCTCAAGAAATGTTGGAGGAGCCCACAGCATTGTGCATTTTGGAGAGTGCTAATGATCGGAGTCAGGCTTGGTGGGGGGCAGGTCAGAAAGCAACATTGGCCTTCAGCCACAAGAATCACACTTGTGAGAATCATGCAGCAGATGGATTTGAAACAGTTTTGTCAATTGCAGTTCAACGATTGCAGAGAGTGGCCACCAGTGGGCAGTGGGCGGCCGCCAGTGGGCCCTTGACGCACTGCACTGGTCAGGTCGAAGTCCTTCCTCGCCAGCTTCCGAGCAAACTCGTGGTGGCCAAGACGGTCGAGGCGGGAACGACGAGGCCAAATTGGCTCCCGGGCGACTCAGAACCGTTTTAACCCCAAACATGCCATGTTGTGTCAGAGACTTTGACTTGTTGATATGAAATACAACAAAAATATGATTAAACATGATTAAATATAATATGGTACATATTAGATACCCCTGAATTCCTTTTTGCGTGTGACTCGCTTTGTTTTGGAACATCCTTCTTCAGGTCAAGAAGAAGGAAGTTTGGACCTTCGAAACCTCCACCTTCAGGAGCCTGACCTTACTGACCGTACGACGAACGGTCCGCGTTCCAACGGTCTGGAGAATCAGACGCAAGAGCGACATGTTCATCCACCATGATTCTTCCTTTGTTCCTCCTGATTTTTCGAGGCACTACCTCAGGGATCAAAAAGCCAAGCCGGATGAGTGCTTCGACCGCGACTGGGGCTTGGGCAAGGCGAGCGAATGCTTTCAAGCAGAAGAAGTATATGAAGAATATGAAGATTATGAAGCTGCTCATTTGTCACTGAAAGATAATTGATACTTGAAGATCTGCTTGTGACTGATAGCATTTTGGTCACCACAGGCATCCCAGCTCATCAAGAATGAGACTGTGCGACGGGCCCCATGGCAGCACGAGTTGATGATAAAGTAACAACTTTGACTTGATGCTTGAGACTTGAGATACGTGAAAAGATCTACTCATTCGATTGGCCTGACATCATTGTCTTTCGATCAACGGCAGGAGCTGGCAGCGATGCTGCGGTGTGGGGCTCAGTGATGCGGCTTCTGCTTCACCGTCTTGGCATTAAAAGCATAGACCGTGCACCGCAAGGAAGGACTACATGCCTTGGATCTTGGCGTTTTGGTCGCTTGGTCACAATCTGTCGTAATGAACCAAGAGACTTTGTTGTTGTGCTTGCTCTCTCGTGGACCGTCCTCTTCTAGATATAGAAAAAAACATTTGATGTACGCCCGGACAGCAAACAGTCTTATCCCCAGGCTCTCAGCCATGGTGGATTTCCAATCGCATCGCTATGCAGTGGGCCTGTGGGCGTCTCAGAGACGACTTCGTTGACATTTTGCAGACCGGTGACCCTCCTGTTCATGCAGATCGGCGTGTTCTGAGCTTTGCAGACCCTCCGTCCTAGTGGCGTCGGCATCGTCCCAGTTTGCATGCCCAAACTTACCCAATTCATTCTAACCCAGAAACGATCCAGATACGCCTGGAAAAAACACACGGCGAGAACATTGCCCCTCGTCTTCAGGTCTTGCAACTCCTGGCGAGAACTGCTCTTGCGATCCGAAGGTGTCGATGTCGACGCTTTTTGATGTCAAAAGACATCGAACGCAAATCGACTTGAATAGAAAACATATGAAAGCATGAGCTTTGTGATGCTTTCTGTGACTACTTGTATGATCTTGTATGACTCAATGATGATTTGCTGCCCTTCCAAGTCGGTTTTCCGAGCGTTTCCCTTTTTCGATGCATTTTGCAATGACCTGAGTCGCTGTCCAAGTGGGTACTTAGCTAGCGATGTTTACTTCTCGGCCATGTGGGCCGAGACGAACTCCTGTTTTCTTCGAGGTACAAGTGCAGTGTTCCTACTTGATGACGTTGCATGCAAAAGCCAGCTTCCAAGAAGATGGAGATCCATGCTAGCCAGAATGAGGGTGTGCAAAAGACCCCTGACAGAGCATGATTGAGTTGAGACCTGTTGAAACTGTAAGAAGATCTCCATTCCCAACAACTGCAACACTTGTCATAATTTGTCACATTCGTTTGTTGCATTTGTGCAAGTTCCAGAAGTTCAGCCGTTCGTCGGCTTCAAGGCAGTGACCTTGACTGCATTTATGTTGCAGCCAACACGGTCGTCAAGTGCTGAGACTGTTCTGACAGACAACCTGCCAAAGGGGCCAACATGCATGCTTGGTCTCCGCAACATCCGCTGGGTTAAGGACAGGGAGAAGAGAAAGGAACTCAAAGTCTTACCTGACAAGGCAGATAGACTGTTGGAAATTGATAGGGCTTTGGTCTCTTCTAAGACGTGTTTCAAAAACCAGAACATCCAAGATCATCCAAGTATCTCTTGGTGTCTCATCCATGCAGGCTTTGGCTCGCTTCCAGTTCCTGGAAGCAGTCGTTCGTCTTGCCTTCAAGAGGCTGCATTCCGTGTTGGATACTTGCAAGTTGTGCAAGCACAAAAAGGTCCGTATTCAGTCTTCTGCGACTGTAGCTGCCTCTATGGCAAGACGGAAATCAGCCCACTGTGGGCGACGACAGCCCAACGTCTGCATTTCAGCTGCTCGACGTCCGCTGACGACGACTCCGCCAGGTTCTTGCGAGGAGGGGCGAACAGTTCTGGTGCCGACGACATGAAACAAGCCATTGACGCGCTTGAGGAGACCCTTTTTGACATGTGGGCAGGGACGGTGAGAACTGTATTGACTGCTACATGCTGGGAGGACCTTCTACATCTGGGACAAGAAGCCATGGAAAAACGCCGCACATTGCATGTTCTTGGCTTAGTCGATTCGGCACACTGTGCAACGAGTCTCAAGAAATTCATGTATGTATGCCGCGTGACCTGGCTATGCTCTGTTTCTTTTTTGGTTGGCCGTTCTGGTGAATTGTTTTGCGCCTCCTTGCTTTTGGTGAATTGTTTGCAAGACTGAGGAGTGCCTGTTCACAGAGGAATGTTGCCTCGTATACCGGGATTATCAGGCTTGGTTTTGACAACAGGAAGAGGCATTTTAGACGGACGACTGTGGATTGGAGAGAGTTAAAGACTTAAAGATATTTCGGCATGAATTTTGTTTGCCAGGAGCACCTCAAGGTCATCTATGAAGGCTTTACGTCTCGGACTCAGCACAAACTCCGCGAAGTGTCTTTCGTAAGGTGGTTCGACCGAAGAATCTTGGGACCCCCCCCCACAACAAGCTGGCTCTGGGAATCTGGTCTCCAAGACGAATTTCTGCATGACGAGGGAGACTGGAATGTATATAGTATAATGTAGTGTAGTATTAATCTCTGCATGTGGAGAGTGTTTTATTGCCGGGGGGTGGGACCAAATTGTTTAAGGGGTGACAGTGACGATTGGGGGCTTTATGGGGACTCTCTTTTGTCCTTTGACGACATCAAGTGTTGGACAGGGTTTAAATGCGGCTTTGACAAAGACGGATTTCGGGGGATAGCTTTGGAGCAGGAGAAGGGGGCGGCCTAAAGTGTGGCCTATTGGTCCTATTATAAGCCAGCATGAGCAAGCAGTTTTTGAAGTTGATCGATTAGGGTTGGGTAAGAGGGAAAGGTGAAATAGGACCGTAGGATCAATACGACGAGAGATTAAACAGATCAGGAGATTTGCAGTGCAGAAACCACAAGTCAACAAGACCGAACTATGCAAAGCAGGAAGACATGGCACATCTGCTTTGGCGCCTAGGAGCGTGAGCTCCTACCCCGGGCGTCGCGGCCGAATTCTCTCCTTTGGTTGGACACCCAAGCTAAAGTTTGGCCGGTGCCATCAGTTTCTCTACATGTTCAATCATGTTCATGCACTCAACATTCACCGTTTGCCCGCGTGATCGGCATGTTTCAAACGTGTTTTGATACGTTTTGTAGCACTTAAATATGCACAAATCGCAAAAAAAGCTCGAAAACGGAAACCGTTGGACACTCGTTGTCCCTTTTTAACTCCTCCAGCTTCGGCACCCGAATCGAGGCGGTTGGCTCACGCTTTGTGGCCAAGCGATGCCAGAGGAGCGCGTGGAGCGGCGGTCACCCCGGACACTAAAGGAACAGATTCCTTGTGATTCCTCCTTTTCTTCGGGATGTCAACGGAAACACTGCCCTGTTAGATTGGATGCCACAACGATAATCTGTTCTTTGTTGATTTGCAGCATGAACGAAACGAGGAGCCCTCCACACGACTTTTTCGGGAAGCCTTCGCTCTGGGTCGCGAAATCCGCGTGGATGAGACTTCGCAATACAGGCGGCACGACTAGTCGTGGGTAAAAACATCGCTGTTTGATGTTCAGATGATATTTGTTGGATTTTGTTTTGATGTCATGGAAATGGATGCCCTAGCAGGTGTTTTTACTAGCAGACCTAGCAGCATAGTAAAGGGTCTGAAGATGTCTCTCGTGAGCATTAGCATTGTCGCAATGCCGAAGGCATATGGAGCTTGCCTGGCCGGAGTATTTGGTTGCAATGGGTGCAATCATGCGGCTACAGCAAGACTTTGATCCTGAGCAGCTCAGCCGGTAAATGAATGATATCTGCTGTGCGGGGGCATTTGGGCAGGTGCACCAAAGAAGGGGAGCCAAGAACACTTGGACTTGATCACATGGATGGAATCCTTTGACATCCCTTTGAGGTTTTTTGCGGAGAGTCTATCAAACTTCTTCGAGACGCTCATACCTCTGAGTGACAGCCTACTGGCGGGCAACCCAGCTACTGCAGGCAGGGACACGGCTTTTCCATCCCAAACCGACTGCCGCGTTTTCGCGAAAATGCCAGGCCGCAAGGTTGGGAATTCGAAGGACCAGGAGGGGCAAGATATGTGATGAAGATGTTTGATCTCTGATCATTGGGACTACATGGTGATTCATATTGATCTATAATTTACAAAATAGGCAACATATTCATTATTTGTGATGCATGTGCTTGTGTTTTTGTTGGCTTGTGCTTCTTTCTCCTTCTGCTTTCCTCGCGGTCAGTTTCACATCCGGAAATCACGAGGCGCTGCTGGTGCTCATTGCTCAGGTCTTTCAGGCACTCGATCGGATGCGTTGGCAGACAATGGAACAAACACGGATGTAGATCATCTTCGCATGCTCCTGCTCGTTTTTTATTTTTAATGTTTCTTGTTTCCCAGTCTATTGCTTGAAACGTGCCTTCGCAGGAAGCTGATGAGGATGAGACAGGAACCATCGACCAGACAGAGTCAACCCAGCATGACTCCTTTGCTTCCATGTCTAAGTTCTAAGTGACTAAGCAAGACAAGCTAGGAAAAGTGTGGTGTTGTTTGGCAACCCAACAGCTGATATTCTGACAGCTATTCCGCACTCGCATGCCAGATTCCGCACGTTCTTTCAGCAGCCGAAGGTCCGCTTTGAGTCAGAGTTGTCTTTTCGGTTGCATCTCCCTGGCTGCGTCAGATAGCAGAAAAAGATGCTTGACCAAAATCGCATTGCGGCATTGACACCACACCAAAGATGTACTGTACTTCAATCATCTTCAACCAAGAAGTGTTGCAATTCCATGTGCCTCAGGTGCAAGATCAGCTCAGGGAGCACGGCATTTCCATGTGCCTCGGACTCCATTGATATTTCTTCGCCACGGCCGGTCGTGATAGTTCTATTTCTTGGCCGAGATCCAACTTGAACATGATGTTCAACTCAATGGATGCGGATGGTCAAGGCGAGGCCGATTTGAAAGGGCCGCAAGGGTTAGCCTCCGCTGTCGCTTCCTGCTGTGTTGGCCTTTGCAGCTGCCGGGAATGTTGTGGAAAGAAAGATGAGAGAGCGGCCAGTGCATTGCACCTCTTTTTTGGCACGATTTGCTCAAAGACGGCACGAGAAGAGCATAATCCAGTTCATGCACAATTTTCGCCACTTGCGCGACTTCCTTGCACTTGGGAGGATTGCTGACCTTTGACGAGCTGTGTGACGGTGCCACCAGCCCACTTGGATTGCTTGGACGCATGAGACATCAGACACGAGACCATTGAAACATGCATTTGCTACATCTGACAAATTGAGGTCTTGGTGTTTCTTGTAGAACTTGTAGGAACTGTTACTGCCTACTGCAGCAATTTCGCAGCCAGGCTTCTTGAAGATGGCGTCCATCATGAGGCAAATCATTGCATTTTGATGCATTTTGTGTTTGCTGCAGCATGATTTGATTTCTTGTGCGCGCTGTCACCTATGCATGCGGTCAGGAGCAATGAGCGTGCCATCTCTTACATTCGCAAGGCAATTCCCGTGTTCAAGATTTGAACTTGTTGCTTGTTCTGGCTGCCTGCTAGTAGCAAGCAGTGGATGTGGGCATCCAATTCTCAGGATCCCAAAGGATCAGGCTATCAGCGTTATCAGCGTTGGGTGGGAGAAACAGGACATGCACGAGGGGTTTTGCTGGGTTGATTCTAATAGGGATTTGCCGATGCTTAGAACATGCGTCAGGTCTTTACCGAGTCTGATGACGACGGATCTGGCAGCTTAGACAAGGCGAGTTGGAGAGATGGGTTGAAGATGGGTTGAAGTACTTGCTAGATAGCTTGAGAAACCAAGCAAGGCTTCGGATATGGAACGCAGTCAGCGTGCAAATTACAGATTGATGATGATTGATGATAGATATATGCAGAATTGTACACAAGCATGGACCGTGGACCTCGAGGAACAATGAACAAGGTATCCGAATGAATAATAGGGCAATACAGATCTGAACAGATGCTGGGCCGGGCCAATGGCAACAGAGCCGCACAATCTCGACGTCAGGATGAGTTCAACCGCATCTTTGACGAGCTGTTGCCTTGGAATATTCGGGGCGAAACTTTCTAGTTGTTGCGTTTTGAAGTCAAAGCATTGACGGTTGGAATCGGAAAAGAAGCAGCGACATGTGACGCTTCACATGCGTCAAAAGTCCGCATTGCTTGGATTCGGAACTGATCTCCGTATTTCCTCGCATTCCGGCGTTGCATAGAATCCGACATGCACGTGACCCGGGCAGTCCATTTTTTACTACGTAGACGCAGCATTTTGTTTGTTTCAGTATTTTCCCGTTTTACCAGACCACGCCTCAAGTCTACCAAAGATTGCTCTCGATGTTAAATGATATCCTTGGTCTACTTATACTTGTTATTGCTCCAGGTGTTGCTTCAATTTCTGTTTGACTAGTGACATGGAAGTTCCCGTTCTGGGTGAGTCCTAAAACAGAAAAATGGTTTGACGCAATCTTCCACTCTGTCCGCCCATTTTGGGCCCTTCTGAGAAGCCAAATGTCATATTCGGTTTACAGCCTACCGGGCCTACCGGGCACCGATGGTGGATGGGTGTGTGATGCTTCGAAGATCTGGATTTGGCGCGTGTGGGGATTTGGAGCGTTTTATTTTTGCCCAAGGCCATCCGTGAAGAAGAAGATGGAGTCTTTTGGCATCCATGTGCTGTGCCAAGAACACGGTGTTCATTGAAGAATTCAGTCGATCGGTTTTTTCGGCCTTGGGAGCCCCAGTGACCTGGATGGTGGGCATCTATAACCATCCAGTATGGATTTTCGACCAACAGAATCACAGCTGTCACATGGCATGTGCCGGACTGATGAGATCTGGTAGCCGTAAATTACACTCCCTGAAATCATCAGGGGAAGTAGGACAAACCACCATCATTTGATGGATTTCTTCGGACCAACCAACCACCTGTTGGTCTTCGGATTGGTAGAACACTCCAACGAATTCCAACGACCTGTTTGGTTTGATGGGAAGTTCGGCGAGTCGCTTCGCTGGACGACCGGTTTTGTCGAGGCCACCGACCTGTCAGACTTGTTCTCGCTGATCGATGAGGAGCGGTGTGAAGCAGAATGGGAGCGTCCGGTTTTGGAGTGATTCGTTTCTGAAGCATATGACATTTGAAATGAAAAAGTCTTTTCATGTCCGATTTTTTAAAATAGTGAAAAAGCACAGATCATAAGATGACCAAGATTGACCAAGTGCTTTGATCGCTTTGTCATGAGCACCAAGCTGGACAGGATGGTAGTGGCAGCGTGACTGAGGATGAGGTCGTTGCTGGCCTGGTCATGCTGTCCGAAGCTCTGAGTAATTGCTGACAATTGAAAGTGGGTCAAAACCTGGAGCCCTGGTCCACCATGTAGATTGACCTCCCGTCGGTAGGTCAACCAAGGTCTCCTGATTTTGACACACAGTCATTATCATTTTTCTGTCATGTCACTCTTTTAGATTCTATTTGGATAGGCGCGACCCCAAAACTGCGGGTGAACGTGGTGTGGCGCTGCTCAGCAAGATCTTCCATGAGGACACGTGGTGGGCCGTAAGTGATTGACTGTACATGCGCATGTCAAGCGACTCGAAGCTGAGTACCTTCCCCGTACCTTCAACAAAAACGAGGGTGAGGGTGCTTGGCCCCTGACCACAACAACTTTTCATCACTTTTCCAGCTGAAACACCGTCAGGTTTCGTCGTGTTTCATGTGCTCCGTCGTGTTTGTAGGCGGATTTGGATGGTAGTGGAGCCTTGGACAAGTACGAGTACGTGACGGCCTGGAACCTTTGGGAGCGATGTTTTGCGCCCAAGCCTTGCCGATCCTTGCCTGGCAAGGCTTTCTCGGAAGAGCAAGTGACCCAGCAGCTCATGGCTCGAAATCTCAAGGCTGTGGCATTTTCATGCTTTTTCCTGGACATGTCACCTCTTTTCATTGACTTTTCACATGACATCGGCCCAGAACATGAGAAGCTACTGTAACAGTTTAAGCAAAGATGTAGCAAAGACCCGTTGGCCAAAAGGAAAGTAGCAATTTGCTATCATTTGGTATTCTTCGAACCAATCTCCAAGGGTCCGCAATAGCCTTGGCTCCGGCGACCGCGTCGAATCGGATGCTGTTGGACAGGTCCCGGACTGGGAAGGCCTCTTTGAAGTCCTGGATGCCGATGGAAGTGGAACCCTCCAGTGGGATGAGCTTCGTGAAGGAGCGTTCTTTCTTTCTATCTATCTATCTATCTTTCCTTCTTTCTTTCCTTATTTCTTTATTTCGTTCTTTCTTTCTTTCTTTCTTCGTGAAGACACACCATTTGCAAGTCCTTTTCCTTTTATATTGGGTAATGTAAGATATATTATATACAGGCATTCTGGATGAATTGCATAGACGACACATCACAAGCACAACTGTTGTTGTTGGTGCTATAAGTATGCTCGCTGAACATAGATGCACATGTTGCAGAAAGAGAGAGAGAGAGAGAGAGAAGGAGCCTAATAGGGATGGCCTCCAACCTACTTGTGATGGCCTCCAACCTAAGAGAGAGAGAGAGAGAGAGAGAAGGAGAGAACACTTACAATCCCTCTACGATATCCAGTTGCTTCCGACCGAAGGACTTGTGTCTTTCTGGGCCCGACATCAGATGGATACCATCAACAAGTGACTCTGCTGGACGCCTTCTGATACCAACGTTGCACATTGCTTGGTGCCACCAGTTGCACCAAGAGGTGTGTGAGCACATGTCCATGAACGCATGCAACAACTACATTGGAACTCGACATCGACACATGGCACCAGGAGTTGCTTGCCAGTATTTTGCCAACGAAAGTCATTTGGATCTTGCTCAGCGGTTCTCTGAACAGCTGAACAGCTTGGGTTTCATGATGTATTGCAGATGCTGCTTCTTTCTTGCTTGAATGCCTGCTTGCTTTATGAACAAAGCTAGAATGTCATTGATGCTCGATGGCATCAGCTGCGCAGCTCTTGCATGAAAGTCGTGCAGGGAAGTTTCGGAACGCTTTTGAGGAGCGACTAAGCCAGATAATGTACTTTGGCCTGGGACATGGCAGGCCACCTCTCAATTGGACGTTCTTTGTACAGCGTTTTATCGGACAGTTGGGGTTTGAGATCTGCGAGTCTGACTCTCTGAAGAACAGGGAGAAGCTGAGCCAGGTCTTCAAAAAGGCATTGTGTGTCTGTGGCCTGAGTAGCCAGAACTGGACAATGACTCCCTATGATGGATCATCAAATGTTTCATCAAGTGTTTTATGTATTATTATGCGTGTATATTCATATGAATGTATGTAAACGTTATTGATGGCAGGGTGTGTTCGCCGCCAAGTCTTTGGTTCAACTGACAGGTTCCTCTTTGTCAACGGTTTGCAGAGAGTGCGATAAGCAACTCACTTCTTCGGCACAGCACAAAGAAGATACTCTGAACTGCATTTTCCCATTTGCAATGGCACTCCCCCAGCCTCTCCAACCAATGAACTGAACTTGAACACTAACATCACTAATTAGTCTTGTGCAACTATATTTTTATATATTAGGAAACTCGGATAATTTCTCCTCATGTATTCAATGACTGGATATGACCGGATGGGAACAGAAGTATGGTATATTTGACCAAATCATATCAAGACCAAGGTTTACCTTGGTATACCCAAAGGTGTGCTTTAGTTTGCACATAGTATATCATTATATATATATAATTGTGTCATACCGAGCTATTAATAGCTTCACTTTCTCAAGTGCTTCACATCATGGCTTCACTTTCTCTCGTGCCCTGGAGCTTCGGCAACAGAAGGATTGGACAGGTACCGACCCTAGACCCTTTTGGGATATGCCATTGGTTGCAAGGTCCTCATGTTGATTGTAGGATGAGCAAGGATTTGTGGTGTTTGCAGAAGTGTATGTGGGGGTCTACTGTGGTTCGTGTTGAGCATAAGCTCAAAGCTTGGATTTCTAGGCCCCATGAAGGTGGTTATTTCGCTTCCGATCCGCGATGAGAGGACCAAATGATGAAGCACAAGAAAGGCTGCGACAGGCATTTCAATGAGCGACAGACTGACTGCAAAGTGTCTTTTTTGTATTTTTTTGTGATGGTTTGTGTTTCAGAAGCTAAGACGTCCATGTGGTTTTGTGCTACATTCTGGAGAGGCCATTAGGTGTCCATAGGCTTTACAGTTTGCAACTTGAAGCATTTCTGTGACCTTCATAGCCTTCCTTTAAGCCCACTCCTTTAGAGCTGGCTCAGCCATGACCAGTAAGAGGGGTCGTGAGTTTCAGGAGTTTGGCCAAAACCTGGAAAAGTGATTATGCTCTCAAAAGTGGTAATCTTGTTGAATCATGTTTATTCGTTAACAAGAGATTTTGGCAGATGCTCATTTGGTGAGTTTGCGGTACACATGTGACCAGTGCCGGCGCTTCTTACATTTTGGATAGGGTTAGGCGCATAGCTTCCAATACATATTTTAAACAAGCTGGAAGGTAAGTTGAAGCACTACTTTGACTCATCCTAAACCACGGTGCCAGTCATATTAGGATCATATCACGGTCAATCCATGTTTCAAATATCTATATGTGTAGTTCTGACAGACCTGTCTAAAGCAATGTAAACCCATGTCAAGCAACGACAAAACGTGTGACACAGATGTGAAATTACGCAACAGATTCTTTGATTGCAGGATGATCTGGTGGCGGTGGGCTCTATTTTGAGAGCTTGCAAGGAGGTGTGTTTGGAGACGAAAAGAAGCATGGCCAAATAGGTTGAGATGCTTGTGAATGTATCTGGATTTTTCGTTCCGTGTATGTCCATGTTCCACTTCCTTCCAGGTCTGGATAATAATGTCTTCTGGTGTTGCAATCAGGTGGCTCATTCAATTTGAGCACACACCAGGAGGAGTTTCAACAACTGACGGCAAATGACACATAATGCAACCTTCACGTTCACAAACTAATCGGGTTTTGCAGCTTGGAACCCTTGGACTATGTTTTTTACTGGCCTGTGTCTTGTGTGGGCGACACCATATGTAGTACAGTAGCTCAAAAGCGCTCAAACAGGAACAGTGGCATGGCCGTGTAGAGTAGCAACAACGCGACAAGTTTCTTGGAAGATGCAGTAGTCGTTTCCGTGCGGTGCAAAACTGATGCAAAGCTGCTTGGAAGCTGCGGGACTGTCGCAGTACAAAGACGCTTGGCCTTTTATTGATCAGCGCATCGAACGATCTTTTTGCTGCCTTGCGTCACTGTCCTTCGGATCACTCCAATTGTCGTGGAGTGGCTGAGGAGGCCTTTTTGAGGGAGGGCTTCGATGATGTTGCTGCGCTCTTGAAGAGGGCGCAAAGAGATGGCAACACCCTCACGAAAGAGCTGAGCGAAGAGACCGGGACTTCACTAAGCGTACTCAAGCGGTTTTGGTTTGCTCCACAGGTCCCCAAAAGTAGGCTTGTATGCATCCAGTTTCTTCTGCTGCTTTTACACATTCCAGATCCTACTACCCGAAACTTTACAAGTGACCCTTGACGCTCAGGACCTTCGTATGCCGAAAGGGCATGCCAGAAAACTCGTTTGGCACTTGCAAGAGTTGGGAGTCACAATGACAACAAGCACCAACAAACCAGAGCCTGAGCATGAAGCGGTGAAGAATGAGGTCAAAGAGGAGCCCACTGATGCTGTTCAATCCTCGCCAGAGCAGACACACTATGACATCTTGCAGGTCGATGGGGGCGCTTCTTTTCGTGAGATTCGCCAAAGTTATTTGAAGTTGGTTGTCCGGACGCACCCGGACAAACCAGGTGGCACGACTGCCGGTTTCCAGCGCCTGGAGGTTGCGTACGACACCCTGAGCGATGCTGAGCGGAGAAGAGAATATGACAACAAGATTGGCACCTCGGTTGCCACTTACTGATCACCTGAATCATTCAAGATGATGTCAAGTTTTTTGGACTGAGACTAGTGACTAGTGTAGCTGACAATGCCAAGTCCGTGTGCTTGCTTAGAGCGTCCCTTCTTCATCCATTTCAGACCTTTGCTCAGGCCTTCAAGGCGTCACTGCCCACCCGCGTTGCCAGCGCAATATGGAGGACCAGTATGACATTCAGGCTCTATGGAGTGCTATGTTGGCTGGTGGTCGAGGGTGTTGGGTGCAGTGGCTTGCAGCTTTGCCACGGGGTGCTCTGGCTGGCTTGCAGGAGCTAGCGGAAGGTCAGTGTTCCAGTTCTCGCGCGTGCCCAGAACTGACGCAAGCGTTGGTTGCAATCGGCTCCATCCACGATGGAAGGGAGGTGCAGCAGCTGGATAGCGAGCTGGACTGTGGGCGAGACATCCTGACAAGTCTTGTGTCGACACTTGCTGCGCCTGCTCCTACACATTGTCTGGTTGAAGAGCTTGTCCAGGCAATTCGCCCAGCGGCCACACGTGCCCTCAGCAACCAAGCAGCGGATGCGCAGGTTGTTTCCAACACACTTCGCCAGCTGTTGAGGAGGCTGGTATACAGAACAAAGTGGGCAAAGCGGTACAGAGACTTGCTCCAAAACTTCATGCCAGAAGTGACCCAAGCATACATGGCCTCTGCAGGGACTTCTTTCGAGATGGTGAAGGCTATGATTCCACCAGTTCCAGCAACAGCAGGTAGCGGAACCGGAACTTCAAAGCCGCAAGAGCCAACCAAGAAGCAGAATGGTCATTACTACCGGGCGGGCAAAGGGTGGATGACGAAGGTGGTCGTCAAGTCTGTGCACATGATGAGCCAGAGTTCGAAGAACCTGACAGCAGTTGCTGAGGCCCGGGCCAGCCTGACGACAGTGAAGCGGTTGACTGAAGCTTCGGTGCGAGCTGGCGTGGACTTTGCGCAAGCGTTGCAGGATGCAACGCAGGTTGCCAGACCGCAATGCCTGACTCCACTGATCTGGCAGTGCAGCTATGATGCTCGTGAACTGGTGCCACAAGCCGGAATGACCCCTTCAACGCCGTTGCTTGAGGAGATGTTGCAGCAGCGGGAAGAGCTACAGCTGCGCGTCAAGGGCCCTCTTGGCTGCAGTCTGACAGGTGAAGACTTGAAAGGCCTTTGCAACGACATGCGCAAGAAGCGCAAGGAAGCTGCGGAGATTGATTCTGAAGAGAGATTGCTGAGAGCTCGAGCTGGCCTGGGCAAACTCGTGAAACAAGAGCTTGACTGTCGCAATGCGGTCAAAATGTTAGGGTTGAACGAAGAGATTTTGCTTGAGGAGCAGGAGCAGAAGCAAACCATACCTGCCCGGCGACGTTCAGCAGACCGACTGGCCGCCCGCTTCTTGCAGGAAAGCGAGGAGGTCACTGACGCTCAGGTCTTGGCGGTGTTGAGTGAATGGGGTTTTGAAGAGAACAGTTCGAGGCAGAATGTTATGCCGCGTGGCAGGACCTTTATCTATAGCGACATCTTGGGCGCTGTGAGGACGAGGATGGGCGCTGTCCAGCTAACTCAACCGACTGCGCTGTACCCGAACGTCAGCCGGCTGTTGTGCAAGAATTTTCAGCAGAGCTCAGGAATGGCCATTCCCCACACGAGCATGTGCATCAACAAGGGGTATCCTTCAAAGAAACACCGTGATTCACACAACGAAGGGCCTTCTGCCATCAAAGGCTTTGGATCCTACGACGGGGGTGAGCTCTTGTACTGGCCGCGCGACAGCGGGCAAAGCTTGGCGAGCCTTGCAGAGTCCGACGCCAGCGTCTTAGACATACGCACTCCGACAGCTTTCGACGGCTGCCGAGCGCATGCCACGAAAGCTTTCCAAGGGACTCGGTTCAGCGTGGTCCTGTACACCGTGAAGAATTTTGAAACCTTGCAGGGCCACCAGCGGAACCTAGCCACACATGTTTAGAGGTTTTAATGGGGCGTAGGGACGACCCCGAACTGCTGATGCATTGGGTTCATTGCTATCGGCTTTCTTTTGTTTACGTGTGGCGACGCTGTTTGGAACCTTTCTACTTTTTCCCTCAGGATATTGTTGTCCGAAGCTGGGTACAATGTTAGCTCACCTGCCAGCATGGCCCGTTTCAAAGCAGTCCTCTCAGTTTCTGAACCTCGGTTGAGCCAGCCTTTTTTCTGTTGTAACCTGAAAGCACCCCGGCTTATAAGTACTTTCCATGTGCCTTTTGAGCAGAACGTTGTCTACGCGTGTCAGGACTTTTCAGCCTTCCACCTGCCGTCCATGGGTCAAACTCGGTCGGCGTTGCCTGAGAAGAGGAGTTCTGCTGAAAGCGCATGCCCGGAGGCGAAAAGGGCAAGAACGGCGCTGCCAGATGGGGTGATGCCTCTGAGTGGCAGAGCCAAAGCCTGGAATTTGCCGGAGGGCTGGGCGTGCGGTTTCAAGCCACTTGGCTGCCGCATGGTTAGCTTAACAGTCCGTTACTTTTCCTGCAGGCGCAGAGTTTAATAGACCTTTTCCTTGCATCGCTTCCCTGCTTTTGGGGTCTTGTTGCACGAAGTTTTTGCACTATGCGCGTGCTGGTGCTAAGGATGACTTCCACGAACAGAAAGGTCAAAGTAGCCGTCGGCCCATGTGGGCAGGTGTTCTGGGACTTGCCGCTTGGACAGTGAAGTGTCTACTTGATACGGTGTAGGTAAGCTTGAGGATCCCTTAGATTTGCCTGGGTTGTGGTATTTGAGATCTTGCTGGGTTTTCTACGCCCAAGATTACCTGAATAGCACAGCCACCCGCCAGTAATTTAATATGGACACCGCAAGCCATGCAAAATAAGGCCTGGGTAATCATGCCTGTTGAGGCAGGACATGCTCTTGATAATCGGAGTGTGCTGCGTCCAAACCTCTTAGTGCTTACGCGGCGCGCGGTATCCACTCTATGATTTGTATGCGTGTGCGCAATGCATGTATGATGGAAGTTAGTCGCGCAAGAAACCATAACATGTATACCATGCGCGCATGTTAGCGCAGAGTTGTACACAAAGACGTGTGTACGCACATGTTTTTGTCGCTGGTGTCCTTATATTAACGTGTCTATGCACGTTATCTCTCCATATGCGTGTGTACCGTTACAGCTGGGCAAAGCCAGTTTGTTGAAACCAGGCTTCCACATGTTCTTAGTCCGAGATAGGAACTGGGCTGAGGCGTCAGGCCAAGCGAGCCTACCCTGGCGTGCTTTGATCGACCCTCACGCGCAGCCGTTCAAATCACGCACTCAGTTCAGTGATACTTGGAAAGCTTTTTTGCACTCAGCCTCAGCCAGCCTGTTTTTCGCACCAATGGCAACCATGTGGTGATGCAGGCGTACCTTCGTGCCGTCAAAACATTAGCTTGAGCGCCCCATGGGGATGTCACAGTTGCGCCGCTTTTGATTCCAAAGAACTGTTGTAACAGACCAGATTGAATTCAAAAATGGGTTGTCAAGACGATTTTTAGGGTATTGCTGGCTGAGCTTCTATTCCTAAAACTCAGACAGCCTGGCCATAAGACCATTGGCGTCAAGGCGACAAGGGTGCTGCATTTATGTTGCAAGGGCGTGTTGCGAGCGACCGTCTTGCCGGAGAGAAGGGCATGGGGTACGGGGTATTAGGCGTTGGAATTGAATTCTGTCAACGCATTGTGCCATTGAACGGATTGGCCTGGCCCGACCTTTCTTTTGAGCCTCGATCAACCTTCGTTCGGTGCGCCCGGCTTCAGACCTTCTCAGCTCAAGCTGAGCTGGTTGGGCCAGCTAAAGTCAGGTACAGGTAGAGGTCCAAACTGATAGACACGTCGCTAGGAACCAACCCCTTATCAAAAACATTGATGATGATGCCCTGGGACGCCTCCAATGATCCTTCTAACGGGGTTATCAGTTTGTGCACGAATGTTTTCTGCAAATGTTTTCTTGCCAGCAGAGATGCTTCACAGGAAGGAAAATGCATACACGCACAGCACGTGTATCCCAGTCCGATGCATGGCAGAAACTTGCCGGCCCCTAAACTCGTAAGAAGACCCTTGAAAACTGTATGCTTTGGAGCGCATTTTTTCCGCCAAGCTTTGCCGGATGGCGGTGCTTCGCTCGTTCTTGCTACTGAGCGGCTCCATATGTTCTGCCTCAACTGCACCCAGATGGTGGGAGGCCAGTGGGCAGAATTGGGCAAAATTCATGACATGACAACATATAAAAACATACATATATATATATAACGTCGTGAACATCACCGTTTTTGGACATGTTCACCAGACACCACACCGGTCGGAAGCGATCAACGACGTGCCAATATGCAAACATATCATAGTGGAGTAGGCAAGGATACGTTACAGTGATGTTCTGGGTTTGTTTCAATTGCCAGCATTTGCAACTGTCCGTGGCAATGTGTGGTCTCTTCCAAAGAGTTGCGGACATTTGTTGGGATTACCTTTTTTATGTTTGGTGATTCGTGGCATTCGTGGCGAGGCAGGGCAAGTAGCGCTCGCATTTGTCCACCCAAGAATTCTACCCGACAACACAACCAGCGTCGACCGATTCACGATGCTCCCTTTTTGGGGGAAAATCACGGGTCAAGGCGAGTGCCCCGTTGTGTGTTTCTGCCCTGGCGATGTTGTTCATCCAGAATCCGAGAAGGAACTTTAAACTGCATGGCCAGCTTCAATATCCGCTGCCTAACTTAGACCACTGAGATGCAAATTGATCAAATGACATACTGTAAATTGTTGGCATCCCCAGATTGGTCGATTTGGGCCTTTGACATAAGTCGAAGGGAAGCCGATTCCTGCAACCCCATGTGTTTTGTATTGTTTTGTTATATGTTTTAGACTTTCACTTTCACTTGCTACCTCAGAACACCTGTTGGTTAGTAGGTACTTTCGGATATGAGCATCGTATTTGCCGCGTGAAAAGGTCTCTTCAGAGGAGAACGCCAAGTCGCTTGCGCTCTACTTCGACAGGGAGGCTGGTGGCATTGCGTTCTGCGTTTCAATTGAATCCCATTTGACATCCTGTCTACTTAGAGTCTACTTAGTCTACTTTCTTCAAATTCTGTAAATGTTTTCCTTGAGGCCAGGCGCTACTTTGTCTACACAGAAGGCCAGCCGCATCCACAGTCTTTGCAAGACAGATCTTTGGACATCCTGAGGCAACATCGCTTCCAGCGAGAAAGCCTTCAGCATGTGAGCGCCTTATGCCACTGGCCACTGATGCTATTTCCAAAAAGCTTCGAAGTGCCTCAAATGAAAACTCTTGATCTTTTCTGAGGTACTTCAATGTTGCACGCGGGCCCACGGTGAAGAATATTTGTGAAGTTGGCCTGATTCCAAGTCACTCGCGGGTTTCTTCCTTTGTTTTGCCTTTCAACTGTTTCTATCCTGATTTGAGGCAGCACCACTACTACTACTTCTTTCATTCTTTGGATTGCGACCTTTGTTATACCCGTGCTTTCGGCTTTTTCAGTTGTACCCCGGGCCTTCTCACTTTAAGCTTTGCTTGCAAGCTCCTACTCTGCCTGCTGTAGATATGCTGGCTGGGGTGGCTGGCCGGCTGGAGACCAGTTGGTTGACAGCAAATTTGCTACGGATTTGGCACAGAACCGAAAGGCATCTGGCACAAGAAGAAGCGTTCTCAACGTGCTTGGGTGACTCCAAGCTTCAGCAGCTTACTGCCAAGAACAGCATAAAGAAGTGTGAGTGTGAGAGATTGGATGCGATTAGTGGATTTGGCGGCTAGTGTCTTGGCTCTTGCCGCCGTAGTTAGCGTAGATACATATATGCATATGTTGTATTGTGTATTATTTTGTTATATAGCACGTAATGTTAAATGTATGTAAATATCAGAAACCACTACAAAGCTCAATTCTGTATAAAAGTGGTCCCCGGAAGGGCCCCCAGAGACACAGTCATTTGATAGTAGATCCAGGATTTTAGAAGTCATAGTAAAGGTATTTTTGTTGAAGTCCGTGCAATCCGTATGGATGAAACAACATGAAATTCGACCCTCAGTAGCTTGAGGTCCATTCCACACATTATACATGGCATATCAATGTATAGAAAAAACACTTTCTCTATTGCATTATTTCATCATCAATAAAATGTATGGCCATTCATTTTGTAGCAGCCATTTTTCAGACGTTCTTCCATTCTGTAGTTTTCTTTTGCTGGAAGGTCTCGCGTTCTATAGTGATTTCTGCATGCCCAAAACATTGTAGCTATAAAAGGGCCCGCATGACCTCTCCTGAGGGCTATGTTAAAGCGAACATCGCTTACCTAGATATAAGAATCCGGGTCCTCAAATGGAAAGGGTTTTTCAGGGTCAGGACCTCTGCGGACGGTCCAAGCATTCTTAGAGTAGATCTACCGTAATCTCCTTGGATTGACACTGCCTTGGTGGCCGATCTTTTCACTTAGGTGTCTTCAGACTCGGCTGCGTTCCGTTCTTGAGGCTTCAACGCTGGACATTCCACAGCCATTTACCTCAATGCAAACCCAGAGGCCTCAGTGCAAACTCCCATGACCTCTGTCGTTTTTGAAGTGCGGAGTACATGCTCAACTCGAATGTTTTGCGATTCGGAACTCGACGACGGGAGGCGAAGGTCTTCTCTTTTGACATTGGGCAGTTTCCGTACACGGTGGGCAATGCGAAGCTGATGAAGGCCGATTCAACGATCCATTCTTTTCTTTTGCATCACAAACTGAACAAATCACAGGAAGACATGAAGGAAGAGCCGACTTCTTCCCAGACCTGAATTTTTGGCTCCAGTTCTGCTCCAGTCTCTCTTTCCGGACCGCTTCGAGTACATCTCTGGCCCATCTGCAGAGACTGTGAGAGCATTCGGCGAAGAAAGGTGCCAGCGGCAATGTTCCCTTGGTTTTTCGCTTGCTTCTTTCAAGAGACCCTTTCAAGACTGTTCCAGTTCACAACATGACCTTGCAGGCCTGACATCAAGTGTGACGTGATCAGTGTTGGAAACTAAGTCTCCGGTCACGACCCGGCGCCGTGTTGATGGTAACACCAAGGTTGATGGTGACCACAGCACTGAAGGAACCTTGGCAGATTTGGAGAACTTCAGAAAGCTGGCATCCTGCAGGCACTGTGAATCACTGGCATCACTGCAGCTTCAAGTAACACACAAGTGGCAGAGTGGCAGCACACAAAGCAATTGTAGAGGTTGATGATAACTGTTGATGCGGGTCAAATTTTGGATAGTGACAAACGGCAGGAACTGGGTCCTCATGGATGATGCTGGCTGGAATTCAACCAACTCTGCGTGGCAAAAGGCCAAGGATGCTGGCATCCTTACACAGGCTTTTGGCAGCCATCACTCTTGAGTGTGTATGCAAAGGATTTGACTTTGGATGAAACATAGATTTGGTTTTCGAGTTTGGAGTGTGTATGTATGTCTTATAAATTCCTTGTTTCATCTTTTTACTAATTACCACCCACTACAGGGTGGCACCTCGAGAGAATACTTCTGGGGCAGGTGGAATGTTTTGCAGACATGAACCCCAGGCTGGTGCAGTTCGTGTTTTGTTGTTCCATTTTATCTTGTGTTTAAATGTGTTCTTTTTTGTGTGTGAGTGTTTGTGTTTGTTTGTTTGCTGCACGTGTTGTAAACCTTGATGTGTTTGTTGCCGATTTCCTGAACCGCTCGTGACATGATTGACCAATGGATGGCTGCCGCCTCGAGTGCGGTGGAGACGGGGTCTTTTCAGCCTGTGGAGACTTGCTGCTGTTTGTCGCCTGATAATCTGCTTTGCAACAAAATTAAGGAATTCATTCATGTTCTACTAGGTTGGAGGCCATCGCTACTATATAGGTTGGAGGCCATCGCTACTATATAGGTTGGAGGCCATCGCTACTATATAGGTTGGAGGCCATTGCAAGTAGGTTGGGGGTCCTTGCTACTAGGTTGGAGGCCATCGCACCTCACAGGCCAGATTACCAGTTCATGGAGTACCCAGAGAACAGATCTTGGTGCCTGGGGGCCCAGTGAAGCAGAAATGGTAAGGTCATGCAAGGCCTGTCACCATGTGCAAGCATTTTGATTGGGAGATCTTCCAAGGCCTGGGATTCTTCAACGTTCAGGATTTGGATTCGGAGTGTCCCGTGTGGTTCAAGACAAGTCCAAACACCGCCCGAAACCTCAGCTCGAACATTCTGATGAGTCTCAGTCCGGTAGGAAGGCTCAAGTGGTTCCTCTTCATGTCTTTGGTCATAAGGGAACACTAGAATCGGCAACTTTTCCTGGGTCATAGGATAGATTAAGGGATTTCTGGCCTGGGACCGTTTCTTCTCTTGATTGGTCTTGATTGGTCGTGCTTCGGCCGCTTGAGGACAGAACCTTCGTCCGCCCGATTGAGATTTGAGCGGCCAACTGAACAGCAACCAACTGTTCGCCGGGAGATTCACATCACATGTCAAGAAATCTCAGTAAGACCAAATTGAGCGTGGGGAGGTTCCGCAGACTTCCACTTTGGAAACTCAGTAGCATGCGATATTTTTATATATATATATATTATTTTATCGTGTTGGTTGCACTCTGTCGGCATTAGATGGCTTGTTCGCTGGCTTGTTTGCCCATCAAGAAATC